GAAACGGATCTACGCCCATGCGCTCCAACTGTTCTGAACTTGTAGCTATGACGCTGGGATTACATCATTTCAGATGGTCCTATGGTATTGTTCTTTTCGAGATGTACTCCATGGGAGAGCGTCCGTTCGAGGATATCGAGCCTTTGAACCTCATTCCTCACTTGGAGGCAGGCAATCGACCAAAAAGGCCATTGCTGGCAAGTGACAAAGTGTACGTTTGGTTAACTCATTTTCATACAACATTCCATAGGCGCAACCGGCTCAGCAATGTGGATTGATTCAGGTTAGTGGAGGAAGTGCTTCGTTGTCGGTACACACAATATACCTTTGACATTTTGTCGGATGACCTTCTTCCCGGCCCTTTTTGGTTTAATTTTTCGTAGTTTCAAATAATTAGACAATCACAAGAATGCTGAGTTGTGGGCAAAACTGCCGCCCCAGCCTGACTCGTACCTACCAGTTACACCACCGGGGCACCATTTCACCCCAACTCAGCTTTTGATGGTAAAGTTACCATAGCTTATCAGCACTCACACGTATAACGTGACGAACCGGTTAGCCGATATAAGACTGCTAATTGTAAGTTATGGGCGAAACTTTAGCCCCAGCCGGGATTCGTACCCGGATCTCTTGTTCCGGGCAATTGTACTAGCATTTACACCAGCGAGTTTTTCAAACAATGTTATTTTAGCGCAGAGGTCATGACGAGGTGCTGGGACAAAGTTCCTGGTAAGCGGCCGTCTTTCGAGGAACTCTTGTACATATTCACAACATTGCTGGAACAGGTATAGTTCTCAAATTGAAAAATCTTGAAAAATAGAATAGAACGCTCTTGTCCAACTGACACAAAAGAAACGGATTTTCCTCTTATTTCAGTCCACCGAAGGATACGGCTACTTGGCACTCATAAAGACCGCTGAGACCTACATGCACGTTGCAGGAGCTGTCGTACAAGCAAGAGGTTCGTTGAATTCATAGGTCTTCGAAGGATATTAATTATTGATACCACTGTGCACAAACGATTGATGGCTTTTTTGACTTGGCTATTCGTTCGTTTCACGAAATAGCTCTTCAAGAAGGGGTCCATGCACGAAATATGGCGAAGTGCCACGGAAGTTTTTAAAGGCAAACCCCGGGATCAAACTGGTGCTAAGCGCTTCGTAGTGATAGCTCAGCTGCGGAACGACCTGAAGTGCAGAAAGCAAGAGAAGTCTACGGGGAAGGGGCTGCAATTAAGGAAGTTTGGAGCAAGTTGGTTGTCACAGTGGACGTGGCGAGGGTCTTCCGGGTGGTGAAAAATATATCAACGAGCAAGAGAAAAGTCTCGGAAGGGGGGGGGGCGGAGGGGGGGGGGAGCAGAGCTGCAATTAAGTGTCCTTCACCTTCAATATTGTCGGATGTGGGTACGCATGGCGAGATAGGGTATCAAAAATACAAAAATACCGAGAGAGCAACGTACGTTTGAGAAAAGCAACGACGGTCTGATCTCTACATCAATGCCGCGCTGATCTCTCATCCTCACGGTGAATGGGAAGCGTTGTGACGAGGGTCGACGGTTGCAGGCCCGTAAGGATTAGCGCCCTAACCGCGCAATTTTTGCGACGAAGCTGGAGTGATCTAGGTAGGTACGGACCTTACAACTTCCCTCGTGGTATCCCTCCTACTAGTCGGGCTAATCCCGGGGTTTGCCTTTGAAGAACTCGTGAGAAGTTGTGTTTTGACGAAGATTGTCGCGCGAAGTCTGACTGTTGTGCAGTTTCCGATTCGGTATTCCCAAGGAATAGCGCATCAATAACAACAGTGAGATAATACGAGACGGCCGTTTTTGGTTGAGAAGAAGGGTACAGTGTTTTCAGCTCGATTCCCTAACTCCCGTTGGGTGATTCTCGTGACATTTAGCTTGGCTTTGGCACGGAGAATTCAATCAAGTAGACATTGAGCCCATTTCTTGTTAATGACCTGTCGAGCTTGATCGGATGTTTTTCACGGAGCTTCGCCATAAGCGCCAGCTTCGTACCAGGGTCCAACCGTAAGTCTGGCTAGTATTGGCGAGGGTAGACGTATTTGGAGAGTTTCAGATGGGGACGGGGCGCTGTTATGGAAGTTGAGCAGGGTTCGTCACAGTGGTTTGATGGGAAGGGGTCTTCGTCGGTGGTGAAGATTTTCTGGTGAAGGCAAATTTTTCGCAGAAAGCGATGCATGCCTTCAAGGACACTGAGGAATTTTGCCGTTTTGTCTGATCACTTCTCCCCTTCTCCCACATCAACTGTCTCTGCAGTTTTGAGGCAAATTTAGCTCGAACTGGGTATGATCAACTGCTTCTCACAATCAGGAATAATGGCTGCTGAAGCCCATGTGATGAAGGTGGTGGGATTAGGTAAGGGGGATCATAAGAGGAGCCCCGAACCTGATGCTGGTGGTGAGGGTTTTTCGAGGATCTCTCAGCAGGGTACGGGAAATCTGCCCACTCAAGGTTGACCGGGGCGGCAAATTTTTCGAGTGCAGGGTTTCTAGCGCCCCATAGTAAACACATCCTGCCTCTCATGCGTGAACGGTGGCATTTGACGTTTTCATCCATTCCCAGCCACCGCAGCTAAGTATTGAACTGTATTCATTTCGAATTGTGATTAGAGGCCAAACGGCCCATCCCAACATGGATAATAAAAAGGATGAAGAATTTGCCGTTGATCAACATTCGTAGTGGCGTTTGAATGCGATGTGGCCTATACAATGACTTGCGGGGGCCAGCCGATGTACAAGTCAGTGTTTTTATCCTCCCAGACAAGTCTGGTACCAATTAACCGACCCCGGAGGGATGGAAGGCTTGGTTGGCCCGGGCGACTCACGACCCAGGATTTGATCCCCGGACCGCTCGCGTGGTAAGCGTGCCACTTGCCACTACACCACTGAGCAAAAACCTGCTCTATACTCGAAATTTGCTCTCCTTCTGACGACATTAGCATTTGCAATATTGATACCCACGTTAAACATATTAACCTTAAACACATAAGTCAACACCTAAACATCGATCTTGCTCAACGGCAGTTCTACTAGTTTGGAGTCGCAGAGCCCTTGTGTTCCTTGCCAAAACGGCCACTGAAATTTTGCATGAAGGGGTCCGGGTGAAGAATTCAGTCAGCACAAAGAAGGCTGCAAATAGTGAACAACTCTGTTCCAGCGGTTTGGACTGTCCACTGCAAAACGTGGGGTTCGTGGTCTTTGAGTTAGATTTTTTGTAGTGTTTTTATTTGTCATTCTATCAAACTGTGTTTCATTATAAACTATCTTTTCTATATATTACTGACGACGTTTTTGAAAACGTTTTCGATTCCAGAGAAGCAGAACCGATTATGCGGAGCGTATAGCCGGAAGCGATCTGCCTGTGTCTAGGTGGGTCTTCAGCAACAGTAATTTTTTATCTAATGCACTCCTCTGTTCTTGTTTTGCAATTCTCGCTGGCATCAGCCTGCTTGAGAACGCATCAAAGCTGGCATAAAGGTGTAGCAGATGTGAAATTCTCCGACACTAAGCTCTGCCATCGCTTCAAC